TGGCTTTTTAGGGAGGCAGGGGTAGAGGGGGGGGGGATGTTGTTATTTATTTTTCGTTTTTGTCACGTGTCCTGATTTGGAGCTAGATATTCGTAAGTTATAAAATATTCCCAAGCAAAAAAACAATATCAAAATGTGACCTCAAAAAAAGTTTCCAGCGATGAACCAGATGACCAGGCCATTTTCAGAACCAATTGTGAGGTATCGTGGCTGCCGTTTCTATTGCAACGTGAAGATTTTCTGGAAAATAATATGTTTGAATCTTTATCAACATGACCTAAAGTATATAAGAATGCTTGTTTCCGGCGATTTTTCTCAATAATGTTAAGAAAAAAACCCGGCTCAATAAGTAGCCTCCCTCCCTCCCTTAACAGTGTTGGAATCCAATTTCTAGATCAGTCGTTGGCTTTGGCCGACATGTCATTTTCCTCTGACGGAGATCGCTCAGAAATTGAAAGTAACGGAAAGGAGATACTCTTCCATCGTCGGTTCTGCTGATGTCAAATTGTGTCTCGACACTACAAAATCAAACGCTCCACAATGTCGGGCGCATAATATTGGGTTATTTAGTATCAGCTGAGAGCTTTTTCTTTTATCATAATTTTGATGATTTACCCATCTCTCTTAAAAGCAAGTCACAGTATCTGGCATTGAAAGAGGTGGGAGGTCACAGGAAAAATTAGCAAGAAATAGCGGATCAAGTTTCCTTGAAACTGTAAATTTACGTGTTTCTTTGTAGCTTTGAAGAACGTTTTAAAGTAAAATCAGCACAGAATAATGTGTTTTCAAATGGGCATTAAAGGTGTCCAGTCCAAAAACAATTTGAAGAAAATTGCCAAAACATACGGAACAATGCCGGTTTATTTGATTTCATTTCATGTTTAAAATGTTCTCGAGCGCCTGGTTTCTCCACGATGCATCATAATAGCTACGTTCTCAATAACCCTGTCACGACCCTATTTCTTTCACAATTACTAGTTCAGAATCTGCCCACGCGTCTACAAGGCTGAAATAAATATGGACAATTTGGATTAGATATCAATACATTGTGTCACGACGCGTTAAAATCAGGTGCTCGTCAATTTTTGGGCATACGGAGTTATTGGTATCATCTTAAAGCCTTGCTTTGGATGAAAAAGTACAAATCTACCTTGAATAAAAGTCGAGATATTTTCCATTAAGGCGGTGGTGGTCGCCTGGTTACAGAGGTAAAATTATCGAGAAAACGGCCGCCAAAGTTAGGTAATTTCCATAGCTTTGGAGTTCATTGATACTGAAAATGTACCTCTTTTTGTGCCTTTAATCAATCTTTTTCAGTAGAATTCTCGCAATGTTGTTTTTATATGGATATAAAAGGTGTTGAGTCAAAAAATGAAATTTGAAAAAAAAAAAAACTACTCAACGGCCAGAAAAACAAATTTTTTTGATTTCTTTATTTTGACGAGCTGTGCGCTCGTTATTGGATTTTTTGGCTTTTGTATGGTGGGTGAAGCATTTTGCTGATCATTTTTTTGTTTGACAAGATAAGTCCATTTTTTTTTTCGACCTTATCTTGTGGACATATAACTGTTAATTCACTGACCAAAAACATGTTATCTATAATATACTTTTTAAAGCATCAATGTATCTCCAAACTCAGTAGACCCAAAATATGTTAGGGGTAGGGTGAGTAAAATCTACAGAAAAAAACATTTTATGGACATGTAGCTAAAATATAATGCGTCAGTGAATTGTATAATATTATGTTATAGTGCATCCATGCAAAATTTGAAGACAATATCCTGAAAAATGAAAAAATGATTTAAAAAATAAAGAGTAAAATGAAATGGCATTCATGTTTCTGTTTCCCGCCTCTGCGCCCCACATCGTCAATCCAGTACACCAGAATCTGTGACGTCACAACATGGCTCTTTGTCTTTCTTTCAACTTATAGAAATTGTGTGGTTTTGTATGCAGTTCTTTTCCACCTAGATGTTCGAGAACAATTCTGCCCACTCCAGAAGCGAACTCGTGCCGAATGCTAGAAGCGGTTAAGTGTCTAACTTGTCGATAGATGCAAGTTCTACCATTCATTTCTCTGGGAGACATTGCGTCTGTGGGTATCTCTATGTTCCCTGCACGATGCAGTGATGGCATCCCTGTTAGGTTATTAGATTGCGTATTATCAATACATAGAAGGGCAACAATAAATCCTGGATTGTTGGTCCCTATATTACCATAATTAATTTGAATTATTTCCCTGTAATTTTACTTTTATTTTATCTGCCCTCACACCCAAAGATTGTCTGATCTTAGTGATCTTTACTCACTCCTCCTTCCTGTTTTATCCACATGTGCTCATTATGATTCAGTCTTGTCAGTGAAGCCAGAGAGGACAGACCTCGTGTCATTTTCTTATAGGTTAAATAAATCAACCTTCTTCATCAAGAAACAGAGTCGCTACTTTTGCCTACTTAATTACAACAATGGCAGCAAACCCCAGTGCAACAATCCCACCCAGCCTGAGTCTGTCCACGGAACAACCGTCTCCGCACTTTCTACTGGAGCTACAAGTCAGCCCGGGGTTACACTGCTGGGACATAATAATATGTCACAAAGAGAGAGAGAGTGGGTTGTTGGCGGGTGCTCTGGTGTGGTTTGCTTCTTCTTTCCTGTCCAACACCTATCGTCCTTATCTCGCCTCAGATAAGTTTTATGTTTGTTACTCTCTTGTAACACCTCTAATCTTCTGGCCCTCATATGAAAACGTAAAATAAAAACCCAAAGCAAGACACTTCTGTGCTTGTGTAACGCTGAAACATATTTTTTTCTTGGCTCCAATCAGTTGTTTGTCTTTCATTTCCCTCCGAAATGGGGCGAGAATATTGGAATTTTAAGAAGTAGAGCAACAGTTTATTATTCCCGTATTAAGAAAAAAAAAAGAATCCAAAAGCAAACAAAAGCAAAGGATAAGGTGACGGAGAGAGAAATGTGTCATGACGCGGTGAAATCAAGCGCTCATCAATATTTGAGCGTGTGGAGTTATTGGTATCATTTAAAAGCTTGTTCATTTGTATTGCTATATGTGAAACATAATGCTGAACTATCATGAATAGAAGTTGAGATATTTGGGATTGAAGGTGGTGAGGATCGCCTGGTTTCAGAAATAAAAATAGCGAGAAAATGGCCGCCAAAGTTTGGCGATTTCCAAAGCTTGAGAGTCCTTGAAAACTGCAAATTTATCTTTTTTGTGTCATAAACCAACATGTTTCAGTAAAATCCACACAAATGTGTTCCTACATGGACCTTAAAGGTGTTGAGTCAAAAAACAAAAAAAATCATTAAAGATTGCCAAACGGACAGAAAAATGCCAGTTTCTCCAACTCCGTCATCTTGAAGAGCGTCTGATTTCACCACGATGCTTCACAAAGAAAAGTAAGCCGCTCAGTATTACTCGCAGAGCGGAGCCTCTAATGGAATGTCAGGTCCAGAAAACAGACAATGTGCTTCCCACTCTGCCAGCGGCCATGTTGTGGTTGAGAACTGTAGAAGCAGAAGAGTATAAAAATAGAATAAATGAATAAATTACGCTTTTATTTGTCCCGGAAGGCACTTTGATTTACAATGTCAAACATACATTTGCATACATAAATACGTAGTTATAAATACGTACATACATAAATACTTGCATAAATAGCAAACATACATTTACATATATAAATACATAGTTATAAATACGTACATACATGAATACTTGCATAAATACACCATATAACACAAATACAGAACAGTTTACAACCATACCACTGTCGGTCGCCACTGTGCAGCGACCTGTATTTTAAGCTAGGGTTGTCTTGTCTTGCTAAAGGACACACCCCAGTAACCACCCATCTGAACCCCGTGTCACCGACACTAGCTTGACATTACTTAAGTCTAAATTCACTACTCACTTAGCCACTAGGCCAACATCCAGGGCAAAATCCAAAACTTAAAAGAAAGAAAACAAACGCACCCTACCACAAAAGCATATAACTGCCACAGCTATGTGATAGTATGACACACTCAATCATACTGACGATGTCTGTTTCTCCTTTGGGGCAGTTTTTTTTTTATCAAAGAAGTCAAAAACTGAGAGGAGGAAACCAGTACTTGGGCAGTCTACGTCCTGTATGTTTACACCGCCCTTCCCCCCAAGGGAAAGTTTAAGCCCGCACACTGCTTTAATAATCGTCAAGACATAAAGTGCCGTCACATCATCGTCCCTCAAATCACGCCCTCTGTTGTCCGGCTCCGTGTTCCTGTACTCACACCCAGGATATCTGACGTCACATCTCTGTATCTGTGCCCGCACCCATGACGTCACATCTTCGTTCCTGTACTCACACCCAGTATAACCTCCGTTCATGTACTCACACCCAGGATAAGTGCCGTC